TGAACCACTGACTGTGTGTATAAGTCAGATGGGACCTTTCTGGAAAAGGTTAGCAGTTTGTGTTGCTTTATTGGTTTAACTTGTTTTTGCACTGGTTATTTATGGTACAGTCTTCTACCTGTGAAGTGTTGGATATTGTAGAGTTCTGAATATATTGACATTTTTATTGGATTTTGCATGCATTTCCTTGAAACAGACTCATTTTGGAGGTTTGGCTCATGTTTTATGAGATGCTTTGATTTATGTAAAACAGAACTTGATTTCTGCAATTGACCCAAAAATTTAGATAGACGCACTAGATGGATGTCGCGCGGCCTCCTCTCAGATCTTGTCCTGCTGGAGCTTCTGAGCGCTGCTGGAGCTGAGGGGCCATGGTGTGAAACTGGAAGAATAGCATTTCTACGGTATCTGAAGGCTGTGGGTTACTTGGCTGTTGAGAGTCCCTTGCTTATGGGCTCTGTGAGGACAATAGGTTATTTCGGCTATTTTATCCCCTGAAATCTTGGTGTTAGCATCAACAAAGCAATTTCTTTGAAAAACAGAACTAAGACAAAGCCTCTGTGTAGAAGGTGATATTGAGCCACAGGATCTATTTTATTTCATCCATCACTCATTGACATTAAAGCCTAGAAAGAAAAAAAGATGATTATTAGTATGAAGACGCCAGAATCCATGGAACTAACTGCATACAAACATTCCACATCCGAGTGACTGCTTCACCTTTGTTGAGTGACTTTTTTAAAGCACATCGTTTCCGTTTCTTAACATGAATTAGAAGTATAGTTCATATATTCATGCAAGCAGCTTCCGAGTGTGCTTTAGAATATCTTACATTTAAAAAGAAACATCTGTTTGAATGGAACATGTTTGATCTCGCAGCCTGTTAATTCCCATCCATTTAGCCATCTGATCATCACACAGCTAGGTGTCGTTGTGATCAACCTTTTATTGTGGGTACTGCACCTTTAATGAAACCTGATTTTGTTCTCTTGCATGTGCTCATTTTCATAGTACTAGTTGCTAAAAATGTCTCTAACACTTTATTGATTTTGTTTGGATTTGAAGGATTACTATTATGTGTTTGATATTTTCCAGAGAAGCATTTTTATTACATTAAGCAGCTTTAAAGAAGGAAAAAGCTGCACAAAGTCTTGTTTGCATTACCTTCCAGCAGTCTTCCTGGCATTTGTTTTGTTCTTATATACATGGTGTATTCACTTTTCTGTCTTTGGTGCTATTAAATTTATCATTACCATTACCAAAACTTCAAAGAAAACAAAAAGAAAAATTTCTTTATTTGAAAGGCAGAGTTAGAGAAAGAGATCTCCCATCTGCTGCTTCACTCCTTTGGTGGTCACAAGGACAGGAACACAGCCTCTGGTCCATTCTGAAACCAGGAGCTTCTTCCCACTCTCCCATGTTGGGAGCAGAGAGGTCCATACACTTGAGCCATCCTCTACTGCTTTGTCCAGGGCATGAGTAGAAAGCTGGAGCAAAGTGGAGCAGGCAGGACTTGAACCAATGGAATGCTAGCATCACAGGTAGCAGCTTTACCCACTATGCCAGAACGTGGTCCCAGTTTTAAATGTTGTAGTCATTTTAATGTTCTTTGTGGTAGCGCTGTTATTCTTTCATTAAAAACCTAAACGGCTTACTCTCCTACCACCCATGAAAATGTTTTTCTGACTCCTTTAATTCTCCTTATAAATGATTTTTTGATAGTCTGTACGGTAGGCCTCTCTAACAGAGGTTAGGTCCAAGACTCCCAGTAGATGCCTGAAACCAAGGATAGTTCCAACCCTGTATGTTACAGGGAACTTTGCTATACATACATACCTGAGGCAAAGTTCAGTTTAAAAGTTAGACACAGTAAAGAATTAACTACTAACAATAGAAGAGAGCAAACGTGGCAGTATGCTGTAATAAAGTTGCCAGCATCAGGACCCATGCTGGGGCTCAACAGGCTGATCCTCCACCTGCAAGCACTAGCATCCCATATGAGTGCCTGTTTGTGTTCTGGCTGCTCCACTGCCCACTCAGCTCCCTGCTGATGGCCTGGGAAAGCAGCAGAGATGACTAGTCCTTGAGCCTGTGTACCACATGGGAGACTCAGAGGGACTCCTGGCTACCAGCTTCCAGCTTCAGATCAGCTCAGCCCCAACTGTTAGGGCTGTTTGGGGGTGAACCAGTGGATGGAAGAGCTTTCTCTCTGTCTCTCCTTTCTGTAAATCTGCCTTTCCAGTAAAAAATGTATTTTTCTAAAAAAAGAATAAGTTGTCAGCATCAATGCTCATATGCCTTGGGACCTTTACAGTGAAACGATGATTACTTGAGCACAAGAACTGCAGTGCTGAGAAGTGAGAACCTAGGGGGCTTGTGGGAAGTAGCGTTGGTTATGGATCTGGATGAAGGATGAGTCATGTCTTACAAGACAACGTGAAGATTCAGTATGCAGCTCAGAATGGCGAGCAATTTAAAATTTATGGATTGTTTACTTCTGGAATGTTCTATTTAGTATATTTAGTATTGCTAGATGACTGCAGAGAATGAGACAGGAGGAACCTACAGTACAAGCAACCTGTCATGTTTATTAATGAAAAGACATCTAGTAGACAGAAGCAAGAACACTTTTCTCCCTTTGTTTTTGGATCCAGCTGCCTTCAGGGACAGGAACGTCTGACCTCAGTGGGTAACCTGAGCTAGGTGTGGTGGACAGACTGTCACAGCTCTCTGCTCCCACTGACCAGATCCTCAAAAGATGCTAAATTGTGCTTGTGTGAAACCTCTTTATTTTTTTCCTAATAATTTATTTGAAAGGCAGAGAGATCTCTCATCTCTGGTTGACCGCACTTGCCATCTGAATGCCTTCAACAGCCAGAGTTGGGCCAGGCTAAAGATGAGTTACAGACTCAGGCTGGGTCTGCCAACTGCTTAAGCCATCACCTGCGGCCTCCAAGGGTGCCTATTAAAAGATTTTTTTTTTATACTGGAGTTAGTGACAAAAGAGATCTTCATAAGTGGCAGCCACAGCTGTGATTGAACCAAGTTGAAGCCAGGAACCAGGCGCTTCTATGACGTCTCCCATAGGGAGGACAGGAGACCAAGGACTTAATCTGTCTTCTGCTGCTGTCCCAGACGCATTAGCAGGAATTGGATCTGAAATAGGGCAGCTGAGTTTCAAACCAGCACCCATATGGGATGCTGGTACAGTGAATTGAGTTTGTACACCACAACACTGGCTCCAGGAAGTAGAATTTTGAAAGTCTGTAGGAAGTAGCATTGGTGTCAGGAAAAGGTTGTAAACAAATCCGATAGTACTGTGTTGTACTGGGAAGTAACAAAAGCTCAAAAAAGGTAGGAAAATCACAGATATAAATCTATGATATACAATGTTTTGGGTCAATAAAATTAAATTTTATTTTACTTCATCCCTGCCAATGCATTAGAAAGAACATTCCTTTCGCTAGCAATTCTGTCATGACTTCATTGACTACCCAGAAACAACCCCAGTTAAAACCATGGAGACTGCAGTAGGGATTAGAGCAGGTGAGCAGGTAAGCCAGCATTTGAAATCCCCACATCCCATGTTGGAGAGCCTGTGATGGAGTTCCAGGCCCTGCTTCTGACCCAACTTCCTGCTAAACTTCCTGGGAGACAGTCTGTGGTGGCTCTAGTTTTACCACCCATGTGGGAGACCTGGGTGGAGTTCCTGGTTTCTGCATAGGCCAGCACTGAGTATTTTAGACATTTAGGTAGTCAGCCAGCAAATGATAGGAATCTGTCGCTATCTCTGTCTCCCTCTCCCTGCATGTATGTGTATGAATCTGCTTTGTAAATAAACAGTTTTCCACAGAAATCAAGACCTTACTGGTAGGCTGGCATTGTGAGTAGGTAAAGCTGCTGCCTGAAATGCTGACATTCCATGTGGGCACCAGTTAATGTTTTGGTTGTCTGGTTGTTTCACCTTTTTTTTTTTTTTTTTTTTTTTTTTTTAAGAAAAGCAGATTTACAGAGGAGAGACGGAAAGATCTTTACCTGCTGGGTCACTGCCCAAGTGACCACAAAAGCCAGAGCTGAGGAGTGAGCCAGTCCGGAGCCAGGAGCTTCTTCCGGGTCTCCCACACGGGTACAGGGTCCCAAGGCTTTGGGCCATCCTCGACTGCTTTTCCAGGCCACAAGCAGGGAGCTGGATGGGAAGTGGAGTAGCCAGGACAGCAACCATACAGTGTGCTGGTACATAAAAAATGAGGATTCAGCCACTTAGGCTAGCGCACTAGGCCCTATTTGTTTCACTTCTGATCCAGCCTCTAGTTAATGACCTGGGAGAAACAGCAGATGACCCAAGGCTCATGGGGTCCTGAACCTTTGTGGGAGACCCAAGTGAAGCTCCTGGCTTTAGCCTAGCCTGGCCCTGGCTATTGTGACCACACGGGGAGTGAACCAGTGGATGGTAGTTCTCTGTTTCTGTCTAAATCAAACATTCAAAATTAAAAAGCTATTGGATCATGACAAGTAACAAATTGAGGGCTGCCTTCTCTATTAGTTTGTCTTGAGGCAGTTAACAGATTTGTCTCAGGTTTTAACATTGCTGGTATCAGTAAATGCTTTAACTAAAATAGTGTTCATATTGTGTTATTAGCTAGTATACGTCAGGGCCAGAGGCACATCACTGTGCAGGCATTAGCAGAAAAGCGAGTGCTTACAAGAGAAGGTCTAATTAGTGGTCACTTTTTCTTGAACACATTCCATTGAACGTTTTCATTATGCAGTGTTCAATATTCAGTATTCTCTGTTCATAATTCATCTCTATAATTGCTAATATATCAGAAAAGTTAATATTAATTAAATGCTTATACTTGTGAGATATGTTTTTAAGAGTTACCTGTGAAAATGAAGCAGTCTTAGTAACTGTTAAGTTTGATGAAACGTGAAGATTAAAAGCAGTTCAAACCTTCTAGAAAGGCATAGTGACATCCTCCATTTTCTTCTCCTTCGTACAGTGACTACATTGCAGCTAAAGGAGGAATTGCTGGATGGAGAAGATTATCATTTCCTTCAAGGAGCATCCGATCAGGAAAGCAATGGCTCTGCCAACTTCTACATCAAGCAAGAGCCGTGAGGTGGCCCAGCTGAGGGTGGGTGGGACGGATCGGACACAGAACTGATTTCTAATCAACCCAGCTGTACAGCAGGGCTATTCTACTGGGATGTTTTGCTAACCAGACAAGATTTCAGTTCCAGATTTTTCAGGTGGGTGGGGAAACTATTTTAGCCGGGGGGAGGGGAAATTTTTCAATTTATAAAGATGGACACTTTTTGTGTTGTATTTGAAGCTTTTGAAAGAATTTTGTAATATTTTCCACGTTTGGATTTATGTGCATTGTTAACAAGAACTGAAATTCTAACTTTTTTGGTAAGATTAAAGTTTAGGTAGCAGGATTGAAGGAAATGATTTAAGAAGGATATAGTTGTAAATGCAAATGAACTGTCATTACAAATGAACCTTTTTTGGTACCTGTTGGGAGACTTTGGGATTCTAGAAGTTAGGCCAGTCACATCTCCAGCTTCCTTTGCTGCAGAAATATGCAACGGAACCCTCCGCAGAGGTTCACCACCACACATCACGGAAGCGGTCATGATTCTGCTTGTTGGCGTTTTATTACAGCCCATCTTAAATGTTTGTACAGAAATGTTTTTCACTCTGTGAAATTTATTTGGAGTTCTGTATGAAACTGGAAGAACTCTGGATACTTTTATATGTTCTGTTTTACGTTTAAAAAATTGAAATTGTCCTAACACTAGAGTGTTAAACTGGAATGGTTGATAAGATATACAGGATCTCATTGTACCAGTTGAGGGGTTGGGGAAAATGCAATATTGTCCTAATTTCATTTTATTTTGCTTACTAAAAAATACCCCACAATTGGGATTCTGATCAGTTCTCTGCCATTTCCCTCCATCAACAGCCTAGTATATCCACACCCCAAAACAGATGTTCTGTATTAGCAGGAGAACCAAAGTAAAAGTTGTTCAAAACCAAAATAAGTTGAGATTTCAAAATCATTCCAGCTCCATTTTTAATTATCCTAGAGTTTTTATAAAATAATTTGAAGAAATTTAATTTTCATAAAGTTCCAGATGTAGTATGAATCGTCTTTAATTGTATTCAGAATTTATTTTAACAGTAACTGATTTGGACCATTATGAACATTCCCTATTTTCAAATTCGTGTGGCTTCCTTTAAACAGACAAGGATACAAGGGTAGCTTGGTGAAAGGTTTGCTCTCTGCGAGTTGTGACTGAGTGGGAGAGCGCTAGCGTTTACCAGTGAGGTTCATAAACTAAACTCTCAGGAATTAACTGCATCTGTTCTACAAGTGCTTCTGGGTCTTAGCCTGGCCTCTTCAGAGTAGTAATATTGACCATCTCCTCTGGAATATAGGTAGGGCTAATTAGAAATTAATCAAAATGATTAACCTCTACAGTCCTTCAGCCTATGGAATGCTTTAAAAAAAAAATGTTCATGGAAAGCCCCAGGAGACTGTCTTAGGTAAGATTTTTGTTTTCAATTTTAAAATGCATAGAACATTAAAAACCAGCAATTTATTTTCTAAAATAATGCTCTACTTTTGGGAATAATAGCATTGGTAATACGCACAGGTTTACCTCATTCTATGCAAGAGGGGTTAATAACATAAGGTTTTATAGTAGCTACTGGAAGTAAAATGTGTTACTTTATAGTGTAAGAATGTATGGAATCACATGTCACCATTTCGTAATACTGACTTTGGGGCATCAGTGCAGATCGCATCAGCGCAGGTTGATTCTCACGTAGCAAATGTGTGTGAATTGACCTGTTCAATTACTGGATATTTATCTTAAGTAACATTGCTGAGAGGGCCTACTGTAAATGTGATACACTCGCACTTCCCAAATCCTTAATGTTGAAGAATCATTGTGCAAACTTAAAGCCTACAGGAGTCCTAAAGCATGGCTCACAGCAGACTCTATTCTCAGACTGAGGGGATTAAACCCAGGACTCTGATTTAGTGACACAGGCACAACAGACCTGTTGGGTGGTGTCATTTACCAACACCTGAGGAGTAAGCCTCTGTGGGATCTGCATGAACCAGGGAGGGTTACGATTTGGAGCCAGTCAGTCCTGGGAATTAGTTCTGTGAATTCTGATACTCATTTGTAGCTAGTTCTATAAGCTTCCAATTTGACAGCAAAACCAGGCTTTCAAGTGTGTTAGAATTTTCCACCTGTTCATGAAGTGTTCTTTGCTTATTCCGTGACCAACAGTTCAAGGTTGGTAAGGATTTATACGGTCTCAACACAATCGTAGCCCTCTTCATTGCTCAGACTCTAACTCCTGCTGCTGCTGAACAGAAAAGCAGTTCGTGCAGAGGAGAGCTATGTCTTAGCCATAACTGCAGCTGTACAACCCACAGCCCCATTCTCTTACAGTTCAAAGTGTACTGCTGACCTGGGGTTTCTTTTTGTTTTTTTTGTTTGTTTTTGTTTTCTGTTAGGATTATTTGGGGACTTTTGGTAGTTTAAACCTTTAACCTTTTCCTTGCTGTGTTTGAGGAAAGTTAAAGCTGTTGTCAACTTCTTATTCTACGGATACTAACACGGGTTTTCAGTGTTTGTTTGTTTTTATTATTATTAATTTTGCGTGATGTGAACACCCTCTCCCATCAATATTTGTATTATGGTGCTATATATTTGGTAATGATCCTTTAATATTGGGAAGGGATTTTAAAAATACTGTGATTAAACTGGGTTTCTTCCTTTGATTTTCGTATTTTAAAATAAAGCCACAGTCATTTATACAAAAGAAAAGCATCTGTCCCTGGGCAACTCTTTTGAGGACAGAGGTCAAAGTAAACTGCATAAGGTTTTTACATCATTTCTGTATGTATTTGATATATAGATCAATATCTGTATAAATTTAATCTTTTATTTTCTGGTAACTTGTGATCATTGAGAAAGTGTTTGAAACTTTCTCATGAAGTGTATATATATGATGGCGTGAAAAATTCCTTCGGGGAAATTTATGTTCCTTTCATTTTTACCAAATTGCAAATTTTCAGCATGGATGTGAAAAGCATTAAAATTATAACTTTGTGTACAAGATGAAAATAATTCACTAAATTTGCCCTTTTTTACACAAAATAAAATGTTAAAGTTAAGCTGCCTCTGAACAATTTTTTAATTTGTTTGGGATTGTGAGCATTGCTTAAAGCATGAAGAGTTCCTTCTGTAAGCAATGAGAAGCCCAGGGGAAAGGTATATCAGTTCCTTCCCCGGAGCCCCCAGCGCATAACTGCTGAGCAGGAACCCCTGCTGCCTTGGAAGGAAAGAAGGAAAGAATATGGGCAGATAGCTGGGTGCAGGTGCACTGGAGCTGGCTGTGGGGAGAGCTGAGGGAGGCGGCCAAAGCAAATATGGACCATTATTGGAGTCCCCTAAGCTAGGATACCATGTTTTGTGTGATTGACATCTTTAGTAGGTTTGTTTTCCATACAGTATATCAGAGGAGTTGTATCCAAGCTCCTTTTCCACTTAGGCACCAAATCCATGAATGTTCAATTCCCTTACATAAAGTAAGGTGATATTTGCACATAACCCGTATGTACATATTCCCATATACCCTGTCTTTTTTAATATAATTGGAAAGCAGTGTCTTTAAGATTCATTTGTTTTTTTATTAGAAAGATTTACAGAGAGGAGAGACAGACAGAAAGATCTTCCGTCTCCTGGTTCACTCCCCAAATGGCTGCAGTAGCCAGAGCTCACCCAGTCTAAAGCCAGGAGCCCCCTCAGGGTCTGCCACATGGATGCAGCGTCCCAAAGATCTGGGATATCCTCTGCTGATTTCCAAAGCCATAAGCAAGGAGCCAAAATGAAAATGGAACAACTGAGACATGAACGGGTACCCACATGCAATGCTGGTGCTTGCAGGTGGAGAATCAGCCTGTTAACCCATGACATGCGCACCAACTCCCACATACTCATAAGTCATTTCTGCATTGCTCTTAAGCCCAATAATATGTGTAATTGGAAGGCAGTTAGCGGGAGGAACAGAAATTGATTTTCCATCTGTTGATTCACTCCCCCCAAATGGCTGCAATGATCAGAGCATTGCCAATCAAGCTGGAGCCAGGGGCTGCTTCCAGGTCTCCTACATGAGTTCAGGGGCCGGACAGTACTTGGGCTACCTTCCATTGCTTTCCCAGGCACATTACACGGAGTTGGATCAAAAGTAGAGCACCTAGAGCTCAAACTGGTACCCAGATGAGATGCTAGCTTCATCCACTACAGCACAGCACCAGCCCCATTTTTCCTGAGGACTGTGATTCTCGTGTGTGTGAATCAAGGGAGACGGCGTGGAGCTGTGGGTCTGGCTCCCTTCACCTCCGTAGCAGACAAAACTTTGGGGAAGTGAACACAGGATTCCCATCCAGCTCTTACTGTTTCGTTGAAAGGGAAAGCCAAGAAGCCTTCTTACTAGCAGGTAGTTCTGGCAGATGCAAAAGCATTTTATGGAGAAGTTTTCCAGTTGAAAAAGGGAGATGTTTTGACTAATGATGTGGAGTGAGTCCCCAGTAGGTCATTTCTGCGTGCCACTTTAAATGGCTCAACACTTGTGCCAGTAATCTGGAATTCCCAAGGTGGCTGAATCGGTGTCTCTTGAGCTTTGACACAGCTTTTCTCCAACAATTAAATGCCTCTTGGGAAACTAGATTCCTGGCACTCACTATGCCCAGAATTAAAATGCAAGTGCTTCCCCAAACTTGTTATGGTATTGCCTTCCAGCCTGGTGAGACAGAAGACCTCTTTAAAGTTTCTCTTAGAACTTGAACAAGAATTTTCAGTCTTTTAAGAATCACCAAGCTGCAGGCCAGCACGTGTGCCAGGGGACTGGCACCAGGATACCCATGGGACAGGCAGAGCTCCAGTCCAACATGCTACCCCGTCAGAAGACTGGGCTGAGTAACCCATGTGCTCACAGGCATGAGGGCTATGGATTGATCAGGGAAGGGGAAAATATAGGATGTGTGGGAGGGGGAGTACGTTACAGGTGAAGAATGACTTCTGGGAGACTTCTGCCTACAAGTCCACTATAGCTAAGCAAAGGGTCTGAGACCGAGCAGTTTGAAGGAGGGAAGCTAAATAATTTTGGGGGTCATTCCAATGCACCTGCCCACGTGGGAAACCTGAGCTGGACTAGTTAGCATTGCTCTCGGCCAATCACCACCTGTGAGTGCATGCCAAAGTTAGAGCTGGGGATCTACCTGTCAGGACTGGATCACAGGACCCACCAGTGAGGGTCAGAACAGAGGATGGGTAATGTTAGGCTGGATGGACCCAGCATGTGAAAAAAAACAGGTCTGCGGGCAGAGTCTGGGGAGTATGTGGGCTGACCCCTGTAGAACTGCTTGAGCTGAGGGGGTGATGGGCGAGTCAGGCTGGACCATGGAACCCCCAACATTCATGGTTACTGGCATTGGAAACAGGCCAGGCTGGTCCAGGCTTCAGCTCCCATAGGTGCACTCAGGAATAGGGTGTGCTGCAACATCACATACAGAAGCCGAGAAGAAGGAGCAGACTGTTGGAGAAGGACCTAGCGCCCACCAGCACATGTGAGAGCTGGGAGTGGGCCTGGTGAGGGAACTCCTCTGGCAGGCTGTAGCTCCCACTGGTGAGCACATCACGGTCAGGGCTGGGTGTTGGTCAGGCTGGGCAAGGTTGCCCCATTTGTCAGCAGGTGTGTGGGCTGGTTCTCTAGGGGGACAGGCCACCAGGCAGGGCCAGGCCAAACCTTAGAATACTGTCGCATGCAGGAGCCAGGGTGGAGTGTGAGGAGTTATGCTGGGCTAGGCAATCATACCTACTGGTTTGCATGAGCCAGGGATGGGGGCAGACAGGGTGGGACTAGGCTGTAGCACCTGCCAGCCAGAGTTGAGACTAGGGGTGGGCTGGGCTGGGTCAGGCCAGGCTGCAACATCCAATGGTAAAGGCCAAGACGGGTGGGCTATACTGGGGCTGGGGCAGAGCAACCACCAGCGCTTACAAGATCTGTGGCTGGGAACAGGCCTGGTGGAGCAGTTGAGGGTACGCCCTGGCTGGGTTGTGGTTCCTGCTGGTAAGCAAGGAGAGCCAGAACAGGGGTACTGACCCAGGCTGAAATGACTGCAGTATACCTTTTGGCATGGTTGTGGACTGAATCTGGGATGAGCCAGACTAGGCTAAACTCCAGTACGAGAGCCAGGGTGCTTGCGAGAGCCAGAATGGGCATGATGGGCTGGGCTAGGCAAAATCTGAAGAAAATTTAACATGCGTAAGGCCAAATTAATGCATTCATAGGGGTAGCATATTCCCCTCATCTGCTTTTTTTAAAGCATAACTTTAATATTTTGGTGTTTCCTTTTAACTGTCCCAATCTTGATATCAGGGGAGGCCTTAGATCTGAACTAAATGTTGCTGTGGGTGATGGTTCTAGCTGTTTACTCTATCCTCTCACTGTCTTACTTAATGAGTTAGTAAACCTAAATATCACGTCTCTACTTCTAGGAACTCTTAAGCAGACTACAAAGTGACAACCTCAAGATTCCTTTAAGTTCCCAGCTGCTCTTTGGCTTCCCTTTACAGCAGGCTTAACCTCTAGTGCAGGAAACAGGACTCAGAACCACTCACAGCTTCTGGCCCAGCAAACAGGCATGGTTAAATATTCCAGGGAAGAAAGTAACTAGGCAGGGTAAGGGGAATGGCATGGGGGTTAAAGCCACCACCTGGGCCACAAGTTTGTCCTGGCTGCTCTGCTTCCAATCCAGCTCCCTGTTAATGTGCTTGGAAAAGCAACAGAAGGCGGCGAATGTTACGCACAGGGGAGACCTGGGCTGAAGTTCCTCACCCTTGTTGGGGTCTGGACCAGCACTCTTGCCTGTGGAAGTCATTTGGGGAGGGAACCAGCAGATGGAAGCTCTCCCTCCCTCAATAACTCCTTCAAGTAAATCTTTGGATAGGGCTGCAGAAGTATTTGTGATTCAACAAATCACCCCAGAGAACCACACTTCATTCCGGTGCCTCTCAAATAAGCAGACACTGGGCCCGGGTCCCAAAGGCTTTATTGGTGAATAGGCTTTAGGAAAGAATGATGGAACCTGTAACTTCCAAGGCTGTGGAATGAAGAGCTGTGTCCGGCAGTGCGGCCAGGGATCACTGCCCGGGCTCCGGCTCACTCATAGACCCAGTCATGAGCACAGGACTTATAGTCGACCAGTTCTTCAGGCTTAAACCACAGGCTGATTTCTTTTTCAGCGCTTTTCACCGAGTCGCTGCCATGAATGATGTTCCTAAAAAGAGAAGTTGCTGGTTACCTTGGGGTCCACTGCCAAGGGCCACTGCTGCCCAAGCAACTACAGTCCTCCCCAAAGGAGTTCCTCCCGGAGCAGCTACAACATTCCAAAGGGGCCTGGGCAGGTGCATCCCTTCCTTTCCCCACCCCTTGTTTCCGAGTTTCGTCCTCCTCAGCACCATGCCTGAGGCCCGGCACGGTAGTCTAGGGGCTAAATCCTCACCTTGCATGTGCCACGATCTCATTTGGGTGCTGCTTCTCATTCTGGCTGCTCGACTTTCCATCCAGCTCCGTGCCTGAGGCCTCCTCAACTTTCCCAGGCCACAAGCAGGGAGCTGGAAGGGAAGTAGAGCAGCCAAGGGAAGTAACCCGCATGGGATGCCAGCACATGCAAGGCAAGGACTTTAGCCACCAGGCTACCACAATGGGCCCCCAAATAAATACATCTTAACAACAACAACAACAAAGTCAATGCCTTTACATTAAGATTGCTGGCAGCACCAAACATTGCTTCTCAATTTTGGAAAAACACAAAAGTAGGGCTACCCAGACCAGACGCCAACCACAGAGATGTGTTCATTATTACGGCCCCACCTGCTAGAGTAGTCTTCTCCTCCTAAGGGTTTACAAAAGGTAACCATGACATGTGCCTATAGATCCCTTTATTCACTCCAATCCCCCAACCGTGCGGATTTTTGTACAGACTTCGGATGAGGCAGTCGGAAGCTTAGATGACAGAGGCAAAGCTGGAACCGTGCCCTGCAACCCGGAGCTTCCTGCTGCCATACCCCGGAACCATTGCACGCCACCGGCTCCCTTGTGCAGTGCCTT